GCTCAGCTTTCCTCCTGGAAAACAAGGGTAAGACCCACCCCCTCAGCCTTGTGGAGGGTCACGTGATCTAACACAACTTTCACTCTAGGTCGACAAAACTTTGGAAGGCATCGGGGGACAGAAAGTCAGCAAAAGTGGTTTCGGAGTGGGTGGGATGGTTGCTGTAAGCATCCACCATGCAGTAGAGTTTATGCTCTTTGCTTATAAAAATGCCCAGGGCCCTCACGCAGGGCCTACTGGCTCTTAGGTGACCAATAGTAGTTGGCTCTTAGGTGACCAACAGCTCTGCTCCGCCACCTCAGTCCTGCTGACGTAGGGAGAAGAGTTCATGATAAGAGAGGGGCAGACAACCTGTAAAAGGCACAGGCAGTAATTAGAAAGCAAAGGGGACTGGATCTACCTGCATAATCCCCGAGGGTAACCCAGAATTACAGTCCTGCCTACTCATTAGTGGGTCCAAATGAGCGAGTCATCAGGAAGGGGCAAGACACCTCGCCCTCTGCCCGAGAACTCAGGATGCCTAGGAGCCCCTGTAGGAAGATTTCTATCAAAAACTGTTTAAAAAGATTTTTCTGTGAAAGGAGGTAAGTTACAGCTACAGAAAATGAATGCTCCTGACGCTGCTGCCGGGAGCCTGGGAGGGGGAGGGCTGGCCTTGTGCGAAAATCAGACCCTGGGTTTTAGATCCTGGTTAGTCCCCTCCCCCACTGAGGTGTCTCCCACCTGCATAATTCACTGGTTTTCTTGCAAGGCCTTCGGAGGCAGAGGGGACCCTGTTAGAATACTGTCTCCCCCAACCCCCCAGCCCCCTCCTCCTAGGGGTGTGACCTGGGGCAAATTAGCCTCTCTCAGTCTCTGAAATGGAGACGGTGCCCTCAGGTGCACTGAGATGCTGGGAAGTGCTCAGTTGGGGGCCTGGTTTAACATAGCCCCTAAAAGCTAATTACCACTGTGACCTTGGGCAAGTCCCTTTCCTGTGAGGGCCTCAGTCTCCTCATCTGTAAAATGGGAGGGTGGGCTCTCAATCCCCCCCACACCCTGGTAGCCTGGAGCATTTGGAGCCTCAGCTGGGGAAAAGGACGAAGTGGTTTCCAGGGATTGAGGGCAATGCATTTCCTGGAAGGGAGTCCCCCAGGAGGCCCTGCTTCCCCTGCAGACCTCAGAGCTGAAGGGATCTGTGGGGGTTTCTGACCCACGCGTGCACCACACGGATTCCTCAGACACCACTGCGGGGGGGCCCCCGGCTTCTGCTGGGGTTGTCCTGTGTGTGTGTGTGGGGGGGTCTCTCTCCCTTATGTGGCCCCTCAGCCACCCGGTGCCACACCATCTGCTGGCCCCACATTGTCCTGCAGTTCACGCTCGATGCCCAGCCCCATCCTTTCTTCTCTGTGACGGCACGTCAGGCCTCTGAGGACAGATGTGCCCCCCTGGCCTTCTCAGGCGGGAAGCCGTGGCTCCTCGCTGTGGGCGCCAGCGCCCTCCGGCCTGCTCATGGTCCTTGCCGGGTGCCTAATAAATCTGAGTCCCAAAGGGAAGGCAATATTCCTGGTGCAGCAAGTGCTCCGCGCTGGGTGTTTTTGGAGGAGGCCTTCCTCCCTAACCAGTGTCAGTTAGGGACCCAATTCAGCCGGGGCCTCTAGAGCCCAGCCGGCCACGGGCGAGGGCAGAGCCTGTAGGGAAGGCCCCCTGGCCCCTGTGGCCAGGCCTTGGCCTCACTGGGAGAGACAAGACACAGCCTTGCAGTTCCTTCTCCGAGGCCTAGTTTCCGGAGATGTTGGCCTACGAGCCTCTGCCTGGGCAGGAGGGGTTGGGGGGTGGTTGTGGCTGGTGAAGTACCCCCCTCAACCCAACCCTCCCCCACATGCACACAACCCCACACACCCAAGAACACACACAAGGAACCCAGCTGAGGGGTCCGCGGCAGCTCCCGGGTCCTGGCCAGGGTGGGGGGTTCTGGAGAGGGGAAGTGGCAGTAAGTGAAGGTGCTTGTCTGAATCTCCAACCATGGTCCAGAGACTGGGCTTGGGTCCCCTGCCAGCCAGCCAAGATCGCCAAACCCCCACCCATCAGCACACCCCTAAACAAGGGAGGATTTGTCGCTGTTTCTCTAAGCCTGTTTCCTCCATCTCTGCAATGGAGTAAGAAATGTCTGTCACCTGGCAGGGCTGTTGTGAGGGTCCAACAAGATCATATATTTGGAAGTTAGAGAGCTCCACTCAAGCAGGTGGCATGGTTCTCTAAACCTCAGTTTCCCCAGACATTAAATGGGTCTGAGAACGTTCTTTACTTCCTTCCCAGGGCTCTGGTGAGACGAACCAGATACTGTGTGTGCGAGCTGTGGAGAGGAGCCCTCTGGGCGGAGGGTGCCCGGCCAGGCAGACACAGCTGCTCGCCACACTCCCGCTGCCTGGCCTGCAGCCAGCGTCGGGCAGAAGTTGCTACTGCATTTGTTTGCAGAGTGGGCCAACTGCTTCCTCGGAAGACAGCAGCATGAGCTGCCCCTCGGATCCCCCCGCCCTGGGTCGCCCCAAGATCAGGTGGGCATCAGGGAAGGCAGGCCTCCTTCCTGGCCCAGGTACCGTGTCCATGCCGGCCGAAGTCCCCACCAGCCTAGCACCCAGGGCACACCATACTTCCAGGGCCCACGAAATGGATTCATCTCTTTTAAATTCAGAACCAAGAAATGAACTTCTATGTTGAAAAGGTGTTTTAATTAGCAATATCAATATATTTGCCTTTATACCGACGTAGTCATACAATTTTTATATTATTTGAAGGAGAAAGGGCCTACAAAGGCCTAAATGCCCATGGCCCATGAAAGTCATAACATTGCCTTGAGTTCATGGTATAGATATCACCCAAGGGTATTTTCCCATTGACTTTTGGAGAGAGTGGAAGGGTGGGGGAGAGACAGAGAGAGAGAAACATCGATGTGAGGGAGACACATAGATTGGTTGCCTCCCGCACGTGCCCCACCAGGCCCCGGGGATTGAACCTGCAACCGAGGTATGCGTTCTTGACCAGAATCGAACCTGGAACCCTTCAGTCCACAGGCTGGAACTCTATCCACTGAGCCAAACCTGCCAGGGCCATGGAACAGGTTTTGTCCCACCCTCAAGCAACTTACCAGAACCCTCCCCCCTCAGTGCAGCTGGGACAACAAATCCCAACATCACCCCAACGTCGCACACACAGGAGCAGACGCAGCAACCGGCCGCTGTTTCCAGACATCAGTTCTGTGTCTCTGTAGCAGCCTTGCGCTATGTTCTTGAGGTGGTGGGTGGCGGCCTCCACCATCTTTTCTCCCATGGCCCACAGAGGGCACGAACATGGGTACCCACCAGGAAGAGGGCTCCCGAAGGCCCGGATGCCGAACACGTTGGTGCCTTATGTGTCCTCTTCCGGCATGTCGTCAGGAACGGTTCCCGTGCAGTTTGCACATTGATGCCACCTTTGATATGCCTCCTAGGAGGGTCTCCCTCACCTCCCCCCACCCGAGCACAGTTGCACATTCAGCAATGGGTCCTTTTACAGACCAGCGTGGAACTTTGCAACATCGCTCCTCCTCCTCACCCCACCGAAATCCCTCGATTGGGCTATTTCATCACGCTCCTACTTTCACTGACTCGGGGGAGCACCAAGCAGCCGGCCATGGCGGTCTCAGGGGGCAGCTGGCTGCTCCGTCCGTCTGGTTGGCAGGACTGACCGGCTCCCTGGGGAGCGGCCGGAGGGGAGAGGCTGAGGACACGCTCACCTTCTGGGCTGGGGGAAGGGGCACTTGGCTGTCCGGCCTGACGCTTCCACGGACCGGCCTTCGGCTCTGGGTCGGTCGTGTCTGTTTTCTCATTTGTGAAATGGGAATCAAAGGTACTCATCTGCCTCCATTGAACCGGCAGCGTCTGGAAGGCCGAGGCCACTGGGGAGCTGTGGGGAGGAGGCCGTTCATACTCGCCAGGAGCTCTTTCCCTTCACTTTCTCAACCCCTCCTTTTTGTGCTGTGTCTGCCGTGGGACGAAGGCCCTTACAAGGCGTGTGTTTGAGCACACGTGTGTGTACTTTCTAGTTTATTCATTCAAAACACGCTTCCCCTCCCTCCGACAGACCCCCGTGCAAATCTAACCCGTCCTCAGAAGGACAGGCAACTCGTGTCAGCAGAGGTGGCAGTGAAAGGCAGGAGAGAAGCATTGTCATTTGGATGGTATATTTCATCATTTTCAGTACTTTAGAACCTTCTGGAACCAGGACTAAGCCACCCAGAAAAACCTCCTCTCTCCTTTGGTGAATACTGTTTGGTAAGATTTCCCCCTCCCCACCCTCTCGCTTACCTTTAAACACCTTTCATTTTCACCGCTGCTTTCTGCTCCTCCTTTGCATTTTGTAAAAAACTGTCTTGACAAAATATCTCTAATGTTTAATCTAAATGTCTACCAACCTGTGCGTTCTTTTTTTAAAAAAAATTGATTTTTTAGAGAGAGAGGGGGAGAGAAACATGGATGACAGAAATATCAATCGTCTGCTTCCTGCATGATCCTGGGAATCGAACCCACAACTTGGGTATGTGCCCTGCCTGGGAATCAAACCAGAGACCTGGGTTCACAGATGATGCCCAACCCGCTGGGCCACACCAGCCAGGGCCTAACCAGTGGTCTCTGCTCAGTGTCATGGGACTCAGTGCTGGGCAGTGACCAATCTCAAGGTGCCCTCGCCAGCTCCTGGGCTGACCTGGCCGCCACCTGGGCCAGGTACCTGTAAAGGGGAGAGGCTCTGGTCGCCACCTGAGGAGGGAAAGCCTGGCACCTTCTAGCCAGAACGAAACCCCGAGGGGGACGTGTTCCCAGGCGGCAGTGTCACCAGGGTCTCACCCTGGGAGGGATGGTGCAAAACAAGGGACATGTCATCACAGGAAAATGAACCACTGGGCCCCTTTGGTGGAAGACTGATTGAGCCCCCGGGACAGGGTAGCCACTTGCTCAACTCACAAAGAACACGGACTCAGGGCATTCTTGTTTTTCGGTGCCGTTTATTTTTTAAACCCACTCGTAGTTTGGGTTCAGCTGGAAAGCAGGACACACCGAGGGAGGGGAGGTGTTGCGTGAGCAGGATCCGCTGCAGCGTTGGCGGAAGCCCAGGCCCCGCCCAGGGCGGCAGGTCCCACCGCCCAGGCTCCCGCTGGCTCCCACGAGGCAGGCAGCCCTCTGCACACCCGTCCCCAGTGGAGGAAGGCCGTCTCCTCTCGGGTCTGCATCCTCACAGGCCCGGCCAGAGGTTGCCCAGCAGCTGGGAGCCAGGCCTCCACGGGGCCCCGAACCTGCCATCCGAGGAGCCTGGGCTGGTTTCTGAGGCCAGAGGAGACGGGGGCTTGGCGTCCGGGGCGGCCTCCAGGGGCTGCTCCTCTGGCGGCCTGGCAGTCTGGGCCCGCCCCCTGCAGCTGCCCAGGGCATGATCAGTGGTACATTTCCCACACCCCCTCCCCATGCCCCCGGAGAAAAATAAAATAAAATAAAAATTAGAATAAATACCGATTCGGCCAACATTTACATTTACATGGATGGACAGGACGATCCCCAGACCTTGAAGGTTTACAGACGAACAGACGGAACTGGGTTTGGAGGTGCACTCCTCACCGAGGATGGTGGGTCCAGGGCGGTGGGTGAGGAGCCTTCTCCGGGCAGCGGTCCCAGAGCTCAGCAAAGCCACACGGCCTAGGGGAGCAAGGCTGCGGCGAGCAGGCTGGCTGCCCGGGAGAACAATGACAGCCTCGCCTTGATGGCAGGGGAGACGGACAGAATCCACACCGGATGGCCGGACTCGGCCTCTGAGCGCCGAGAAAGCCACGGGCCCGTGGGGAGAACTGCGCAAGCCCTAGAAATGCAATACCCAGTTTTGCCCCTTCAAATACATTCAGAGGTCAACTTGGATATGGCCTTCTCACACAGCAGAGGGGGGCCTGACCCGGGGAGGGGGGTCTGTGGGGTGCCCATGCGGCCCCCCAGTTCCCGTCTGAATTGTCTCTCCTGGGAAGCTGCTTCAGAGTCTCAGGTTTTAGCCTTTAATGTTAATTCCTTAAAAAAATGATTCCTTTTTAAATGTTTTCCTTCCACGTCTGAAAAAAGTAGCAGCAACCTGTTTTTGAAAAAAACAGCTGAAACTGTTTCTCGGATTGGCCAGGAAGCGCTTTCGAGCAATGGGATAAACTAGGCAAACCACGTCTGGAGCCACCGTGACACGACACGTAATTAAAAATATATTTATATATGTATACATATTTATATCTCACTTCACACTCTGGTCCTAACAGTCAGGGAGGGGTTGGCCCTCAGGCAAGACCACCAGGAGGGCCCCAGGAGGAAGGGCACGAGGCCCGCAGCGCCCAGGATGCCACCTGTCCCGGCTTTCCCCGGAACAGCAGCCCCTGCACGCCCGGTATCTGGGGCCCTGCATGAAGCTTGCTCTCTGAGCTGGGGTGGAGGTGGGGGACCCCACTCTCCTGCCTTCTAGACTTGCACCCCCACTCCTAGGCCTCTCCCTTCCTCCTGTTTTCTTCTCAGCAGATGCACCCACACCCATACCCATGTGCACACACACGTCTGCACACACACACCCACACACGCACATGCACATACACTTCAAGGAAGCAAGACCCATGTCAGCACAGGTGTGTCTGAGGCCTGGCAGGAGCGGCTGCTGGCCTGGCGGGGCCGCCTGACTCCTCCAGATCCTGATTTCCCCCGTGTCCTCTCTGAGCCTGACATCAGCCCCCCTCTTCCCTCCAGGCCTTCTGGGGGCCTCCGGTGTCCCGGCCCAGGATGGGCTAAAGGTGCAGGCTGAGGAGGAAAGGCGGGAGGAGGTGTGAGGAAGCTTGGGAAGCAGGAGAAGGCAAAGGCTGGGCCACGAGGGTGCTGGCTCCGACAGAGGCACCCGGCCGGCTGCAGGTAACCCTCTGCCCCCACAGGCGCTTTTTTGGGGAACTGGCACGAGCTCCCATCCCGGCTGGAAGGCAGGTTGCAGTTGGTGGGAAAGCCAGGGAGTACTGGGAACCTGCCCCCTGCCCCCTCCCCGCTTGCCTGCTTTCCCAGACTCGGGGTCAGCAAGGGGAAGCCTCCTCCAGCCCTCACCTCGTGCCAGCCTGACCGGACCGGGCAGCCAGGCCGCCTCCAGGGACCCAGAGTGACTGGCCTCGGCAAAGGAGGAGATAAGGAAGCTGCTGGGCCGAGGTCATTTTCTGGGGCTCATCACAGTGTGAGCTCCGGACCCTGGAGGTGTGTGTGTGGGGTGCTGTGCAGGTGCCAGTGACAACAGTCCAGAGCCCTATCCATCTCCCTCCACAGAGGAACCTCCCAGGACCCAACTCCTGCAGGAGCCCTGCCTTGCTCGCAGCCTGGCACCCCTGCCCGGTCACCTGACTGTCCTGCTTGTGACTCAGTGAGCAGCCCGGGGACGGCAGTGCCCGAGCCCCCTGGGCATGGGGACCTGGGCTGTGGGAGGGCTGGGTCCTGGGTCCTGCCTGGGATGAGATTAGGGCAGTCACACGGCCCATGTAGTTACATTCTGAGCCCCCCCTCCCCCCCCACACACACCCAGAGGTTGGGACAGGACCTGTGTGTGGAGCAGAAAACATCCCCTAGCGTTTGGGTTTTAGTTTGCCAGCCTGTGCTGTGCCTGGTTCACCGCCAGGCCCAGGGCCTTGCACCCCAGTGTGAGGTGTCAGCCCTTTGAGAGCAGCGAGAATAGGAGCAGGGAGGTGCCCAGGTTCCGGAGGGACCCCCACGGGCAGACGTTTCCAATTACCCTAATTGGCTACTGGCAAGCTGTCTGTGGCTAGGAGCCTTCAGCCACAGGGGGTGGGTGTGATGTCCCTCATCGGGGTCCTCCTGTGGGATCACATCGCGGCTCTTTCATTGAGAGAGGAGACTTCAAAGCAGCTGACTTTTGAAAAATATAACACAATGAAACAAAAGAGCGCAAGGAGAGCTACAATCCCCAGCTCCCCGCCTGCTCCCAGCCCAGGCCCCAGGCGTGGGGTCTGGGAGAAGGACTTGGAAGTTGGGGGTGGGGGGGGAGCTCGAAGATTGGAAGAGAAGGGATGCCTCTGTCCCCAGCTCAACCCTGTGGACAAAGGCCGTCCATGACGGGCGGCTGGTGGGGACCGTGCCTGCCTTTGTCCTCCCGGACATCTGCTACACGTCGCCTGCTGCCAGTTGGCGACGGCGGCTGACAGCATGCGGGAACAATGCACGCCTCTCCGACCCACTTTCCAGCCTCTGAGGTCCTTTGCGACCCACGCGGTGCCCTGGTGCGCCGGCTGCCCGCTGGAGGAGGAGTCAGGGGATGAAACCCCTGCACAAAGGCCTGCGGGCTCCTTGCTGGGAGGGGCAGGAGGAGCAGGAGTGAAGGGGGAGGGCCGGGCCACCGTGAAAAAGCAACATGCTCCCATGACCGTGCCGCGGCCGCACGCTGGGGCTGGGGCTCGGATGGGGGGCATCCTGGGGTTCGATCCCTTCCCGCCAGGCTCCAGACGGGCCTCCGGCTCTGCCTGCCTTCCTCCCGTTTGTTTCTTTCTCCAGGGCCACCCCTGTCCGCCTGCCTGTCCATCTGGCCCACGCACCGGGGCCCAGCTGCCTGCGGGCCGCCCGCCAGGCCCCTGGCTGTCAGGCTGTCAGTTTCTGGATGGTTCTGTTGTAGTACTGCGTGATGGGGGGCGTCAGGGGGTTCCAGCTGTTGGCGTGGAGCTCGATGACCTCCAGGAGCAGCGACCGGGTCAGCATCGACTCCGAGGGGCACAGCATCTTGTCTCGGGCACTGGCCAGGAGCTCGGTCATCATCTCGGGCAGCTGCTCCTCCAGCAGCCGGCCCGTGCTCTGCAGCTGTGGGCAGAGAAGGGGGCGCGGTTAGGACAGCACGTGGGCCCGGCAGCGGTCCCGACCCACCTTGGGTGGGTGAGCTGGGGCAGGGACAAGAACCAGCTGGATCATCTCAGGAAGGTGCAGGCCCAGGCCTCTGGGACACAGGGAGGGCGGAGTGCGGCAACAGCCAACTGCGAGAGCCCACACTTAACCACCAATCTGTTGGCAGACATAAGAGGGATCGGAATATTGCCTGCTGCCCAGGAGCACAACACGTCTCCCTGTCACCCCAAAGCTTTCCTCCTACAGGAAGCCTTCCCTGACTGCCACCCACACCCTCACTGGCTGTGTGACCTGCTCCCTTCACAGGCGATCAGGCTGCTCCGGGTTAATTTTCACTTGCTGGGCTGTGTCTCTGGAAATGAGCTTAGTCATTGTTACCTGTGTGTGTCCATGTGGAACCTGAGAGCGGAGAGCAGGATGTCTCCTATTTCCCTCCTCCCTCCTCGCCGCCCCAGCCCCACCTCCCCACCCACAGCACTGACCTCTGCCCACACCAGTGACACGAGGAAAGAGAAACACGAACCGGGCAGAAGGCCAGCCAGAGGGCCTCCCCCCCAGAGAGGCCCCCAATCACCTAGAAAAGCCCCCGTTGGGAAGGAGCCCCAACCTTCTGAGCTGTGCACCCCTGGCCAGCAGCCCCTGCCGTTCTCTCCATATAACCTCACCCCCAGCCTCACCCCACCCCCAGCCTCATCCCACCCAGTGTTCAGGCCTCTACCTTCTTCACAAAAGCTTTCTTCACCTCCTGGGCCCACCCTGACCTCTCTCCTGGGATGCGTGCTCTGTACCCACACTTTTTCCCCCACTGCTCATCCAGTGGGGTGCGTGCACATGCGTGTGCGTGTGTGTGATCTAGTCTCGCCGGACCAGACGCTGTCTGAGGGCAGGGAACATGCCTTCTCCTTCTCCTTCTCCTTCTCCCTGCTCTCCCTGCAGTCACGCAGCTGGAGCCCGACCATGACCGGAGTGACTGTCCCTTACACCTAAGCTGCGGTCCGGGCTCCTGCACTCTAGCCTCCGAGATTCTCGGGAGCAGCCTTGGCAGCGGGCAGCAGCCGCCTGAGAGGTGAGCTCAGCCGGCCTGGTGCGTCCTGGGTACCCAGGATTGAGGCCCCTCCCTCACTGTGCTCCACTCGGAGGCTCTGGGCTGTCTTCCGAGGGCAAAGGTCTGTCCCCGTGAGTAGGGGAGAGCCCAGTGCCTGCGGACAGATCCCAGAGGGAGAGTATCCACGAGCAGCGGCCACACCTGGGGGACAGGCCTGGCACCTCCCGAGGGCTGTTCTGCGACACTGGGATGCAAGCCTCAGGCGCCTTCCCCAAACTCCACAGCACCAAGGCCCAGGTTGATATCGGGGGACAGGGGTCACCCGGAATCTCTTACGTCACTTAGGTGTGTGCCTGGTGCGAGGAGAGGGCGGCCCTGGGGACAGGGAGGGTGACGATGCCAGCCCTCGTGTGACCCTCTCCATGGCCAGCAGTCCTCCGCCCCTCCGGCCCAGGGCGGGCAGGCTCCCTGTGAACATTCACATTCCACACAGGAAGCCGCTCCCCACCAGCCCGCGCGCTGCTTACCTCCATGGAGCAGCACAGCACGGCGTCTTCCTTCACGTCCTGGGACTGCAGGAGCTGTGGGGGCGAGACCATCTCAGTCCCGGGCTGCCCAAGCGAGCACCAGGGACCACGGCTCAGGGCGCCCGCTCCAGTCCCCCGCAGCCGGGCCCCCGCCCAGCCCCGGGGCAGCCTGGAGTGAGCATCTCCAAGGGTCAGAGGATACCAGGAAGCTGGGCCTTCTCGGGCGGGAGCTGAGCCCCTGGAGGACTGCTGTGGACACAGCCTGGGCGCCCCGGCCAGGTCAGAGGCCACGGCAAAGCAGGGTACGGGTGGGCTTGAAGAGGCAGCAAGGATGCCGGGATCACTGGCGGTTACAACTGGCCAGCGAAAATCCTCAGAGAAATTAGCTTAAAGACTTCCTGATTGGTGAGCGGGGGCTCGGCCGTGGTCTTGGGTGTTCCTGGGCCCTGGCTACGGGAGGACTTCTGGACATCAAAGTGCTCTTCTGCCAAACCACAGGCCCACTGGCTTCCCCAAGGCTGGACCTGCTTCCCGGCCAAGGTCACGGCCTGGCCACACCCCCACCCAGGCTTCCCTCTACTGCCTCTTCTCTTTTCTCAATCTCTCCCTTTTGCTTTTCTAATTGATGTGGAATTCAGATAACACCAAATTCGCCATTTTTAAGTATACAATCCAGTGACTTAGCATATTCATAAAGTCCCGCAGCCATCCCCACTAAGTCCAGAATATCTTCATTGCCCCCAAAAGAAACCCGTGCCCATTAGCAGTTAGTCCCCTGACCCCCATCCCCTGGCAGCCGCTCAGCTCCTTGGTCTCTATGGATCTGCCTGTTCTGGACATTCCAGGTAAACGGAATCACACGATAGAGTAGTCTCTGTGGATGGCTTCCACTTGACGTAACGCTGTGGAAGTTCATCCACACTGGGTGAACCTTGCGGACATTGTGCTCCGTGAAACAAGCCAGTCACAGAAGAACAACTACCGGAGAACAGTATGGAGTTTCCTCAAAAAACTAAAAATGGATCTCCCATTTGGCCCAGTGATCCCACTTCTAGGAATATATCCCAAGAAACTAGAAACACCAATCAGAAAGGATATATCCACCCCTATGTTCATAGCAGCACAA